AAATTATATGTTCTGTATTTACGGGATAATGGAAGAACAGAAGTTAATAGAATATCATCTTTCTTTTCACTGTACAAAGATTTTTGTGAAAATGATTGTCAACATAATCACATATAAAATTCTATGATCATTAGCAATAATCGCATACAACATGATGATTATTCATTCTATACAAGATGATAATTACAATGGCTAACATGGACAAAAAACGGTTCTGCACACTGTTGTTTCATACAATCGGCAGTTATAAATAACTCTCAATCGTTGTTTATTAAGTACAGTATTGCGAACGTATTTTATCATGTTGTACACATTTGATAACGGTCTGAAAATTGAATATTCAACAGTTTACCATCCAGTGAAATATGATCGTAATACTACACCTGCCGAACAGCGAAAAAACTATCTGAAACAGCCGTTTACGACTTGCACTTATTTGACCTGGACAAAGTTAAATAATACTATCGTTGGTGCAATCATCATTTTTTTTCTTGAATCATTACGCATGTCTATCAAAATATATTCATGCATTGCATTTGAATTTTTGACACGTACTTATTTTACATAAGCTGAAATGGCATTTGTTATGTACTCGTATGTTTGATGAAACTGATGAAATTGAAAAAAAGATAAGATGGAGCAAAAACTCACAAAATAGATGACTATAAACATACATAAATTGCCTACTGTATATGTATAAAAAGGATAGTAGAATATGTGATAGTGTAAAAAAAATATATATTTGTGTTATTGATATGAAGTATGAAAATCAAGTTGTTATTCAAATTATCCATTTAAACTCAGGATTAAAGACGCAATTGCACTGTATAATTTGAATTTTTTTTTTTTATTGTTTTATCTAATGATTCTTTTTCGTTTGAGCAATTTAAATTTGATATGCGCTCGTACGATATGAATCTGTTCGTTTCTATTCTAAGGACGACATAAGAGATTAGTTTTCATCAAAGAATTGCTAAATCCAAAGAATTTTATTCAACTGTTACTTCTTTATATCATATATTAGTTCGAGAGTAATATTGCTTAACAATATTATTGAAATAATCATTCAAGTTCTTTTTTATTATTGGCACGTTTATTTTTCTTTACTTTTGGTATGATTTTATCTTTAAAGTTTTTCAATATCGACAATCATACACACAAATTTATTTCAATTAGAAAAATGCAAAAAAAGATCATTGATATTAATAAATTATTTATTTTGTCATATTCAATTAATCATGAAGTTCTAATTGTTTGTAAACATGTCTTCACTCAAATAAGTTCAAAATAAAATATCGAATTACAACCAATCAAGCGTATCTTGAGTAATAGAAAATATCTATTTGATCTTTTGCATGAAAGTCAAGAAAAAAAATCAAATATTAATTTTCATGACAGTTAATGCTGATATAATATACCAAAACTAAGGGAATGCCTACAAAGGGAATGATAAATATTGAAATCATTTTTGGTTGATTTTCAAAACAAAATGAAATGAATCGATGATGACTTTGATGATTTGGTATTAGAAAAATAAAACAAAAAGTAATTTGAAAACTAATATAGATAAAAGCAATTTTAATACAATTTATTCTTGACTAAAATAACTTTACTCTATTATATCAAATGAAGATATTATGACTTGTAACTTACGAAATGAATTTTTCTCGTTATAAGTTAGGTTTTTAATTTAACAGTTAAAGGGTAATAACAGTTAGAGCAGTTTTTCTCTTATTTATAATTTATCCAACGATATTGAACAATCATCAAACTATTTATTCGTTTTCATTTTTCTCCTATGCTCATGTTATGACAATCATTTTGCGTCTAGAAGAGGAACTTATATATTGAAATCAAGCAAAATAAATATTGTTTACGGATCAATTCAAATAACAAAACAATAAAAACAAAAAACAAAATTAACTTTATCGGATCACACGTGTCATGTAGTATAAATTATCAGTTAGTCATATTAGTAGGTGACACACGAAAAGGGTTTTTTTTATTTATATCGTTAACGGATTAAATAGTAATAGTTTACAATATTTGAGACTATTCCATTTCATCATAATAATTTTTATTACATATTATGCTTGAAATATTACTAATATAAGCTTGCGACCTTTTGCATATCTAACAAACCATCATATAATTTTACCAATTTTCGTTACTAAAATATTGTATTTTTATTGGTTCATATATTATCATCTAGTTATATCTATGTTTTATGTGTATATATCGTTGACTTTGTATTAATATTTTTAAAAGGTATTTCGAATTTTTGGTAAAGTATCTATGAGGAAAAAAAAGAAGAATAGATTGATCGTTTATAGAAACTTGGTTTCAGATTACAATCAATTTTTCTGATGAAAAAACAAAGATATATTATTTATAGGTTATGTTTTTAATTATCTTATTTATTATACAAAATTGAAAATGCTACATAATGATAAAATTTACTCCAGAATTAAAAATTATTGATAATATTTGCATAAAGATTTGAAGGTGAGAAAAATAATACAGTCAGATAATTCAGATAATACTTTGTAAAATTACAATAATCAAAACAAATATCAGCAAGCATTACTTATCTTTGTAACTAATCATCACATCTGTTTTTTCTTGTTTTTTCAATCACACTTGTTCTCTCTTCCCATATGTCAGCTGAATGGAAAAGAAAAAGAAAATACTACATATCGAAGGCGTGCTTAGTAAGTGAAGGGCCCGCTTTTTACGGTGTCTTGATTATATCAAATGATAACGCAATGAAGGATGCGACACTTCATTCAGTTTTATCAAGTGTAATTTTGTTTTCTGTGTATATTCAAAATACAGTAAGTATAGTCGAAGGTTAGATGAGCACAGAAAAAAAATTTGATGGTACTTCTTATCGAAACTTGATCATTTTTAATAAAACGTGCTCATTATTTTTGTTTTCATGACCTTGGTTGGTTGTAGATTAAATAAAGAGAAAAAATAAATATTTATAAACAAAAAAACAATCATTCATTCAGTTTGTATAGACAAAAAAATAGTCTTTATCTTTGTTAACTTTGTTTTTTATAGTTTCTACTATTTGTCACACTTCCATCATATGTTTTTTACACAAAGATATGTCATGCATAACTAAAAGGCTAAAATTTATGAGTCTCTTCTGTATGATTCAATGACAAGGACGAATTTTCGTTTGATTGGAACACAAATCTGTTTTAAATATTGTTTTTCATATAGATCGCATAAAGAAATTCTTCTTTGATGCATTACTTTTGCATTCAGTAAAACAATTGTAATTTATTTTCAAGTAAAAAAGATCCACATGAAGCGACCTATAGTATAGAATAAACTTTTAGACCTAGATCATTTAAATATCAATGGTTAGAATATTTCATATATTCAAACATACAACATTGATTTTCTAACTAATGCTTGACAGAGTCAGTCGTGCATTTAATTCAGCAACAGAGATGTCCTGAGAAGAATCGAGAAGTGACTCTACCAATCTTGAAAAATGTTCGTTATTTTCTAGCTAAGTTTCAGGATTTTATTGTTGTTTTTTTGCTCACTGATTCTATTCTGAAAAAAATCTTGCGATCTACCCTTCAAATCCGGTCAAATTTATCAACAATCTTCTGATCAACCTCTAGAATCATTGATTCTCGCTCGGCTCAATCCAAACAATCTCGGTGGATCCCTATTTGGTAGATACGAATTCAAACATTAAAACAAATTAGTTGTAAAGATTAGTTCTATGTGTACGATTATGATATCATCAATAGAGTTGATTTCAATATTCTCTGTTTATCATCTAAAGTGACAACTAAAACTAATGTTTAAGACCACTTCCTATAGATTTTCTTTACTCGACTATAGATTCTATTGTTTTCATAAATTCAACAATAATACTTCAAAGATGAATATTTTCATATTATTGATATATGAAAATAACACAATTTCGAATAGGTTTATGTCACCAATCAAAAAAGAAGTGCGAACTTTTGATTGAAACGAAATATAGAGATTCAAATTTTTGATCTTTTAGTTTATGACATATACTGTCATGTTTGGTGACAGTTTTCATTACTCAATATGTCTCTATTAAATGTATGCACAACACGTATAAACATGTAAATGCATAGAAAATAAGCGTAACCAGAAAAACAGATCGAATCAAACGAATTTTAATGACCGGCAACTATATTAAAAAGACAAACTATTTCATTAAGTATAATTATTCGAAAAAAAAACATGGTTATATTTCAATTTTGTTTTATATTGAATACAATTCAAAAAAACATGATTGGCGAAGAATGAATGGTTTAATGCATAAAATTGCATATGTAAAAATCAAGTACTTGTGGTTATGACGTTAGTCACGGAGTTTGACTCACAACGATTTTACAAGTAGGAAGAATACAGACAGAAATTATATAACTATCACTCTTACTTGTTTTGCTCGTTTAATAATTATTCATAAGCTGAAAACAAACAGAAAAACAAGGAGTAAGTCGAATATGTGAAGGACAATATTGACGAAATTCAATAGTTGACAAAATAAAAATACTTATTAAGAGTTTGGCTTAGCCGTTTTATTTGTTTTGATAATAGATCTTGAAAATAATTCGATATATAAGATGGATGATGATATTTCATCAATAAACGATATTAAAAGTAGATATTTATTGTACGATCACTAACGAGTCATTTGAGACGAGTAAAACATTGAAAAAGAAGTCAGTAAAAATTTTCGACACTCGTTTTCTTTTTCTTTCGAACTTTTATCAATATAAAAACAGAAATACATTGGCACTCGAAATAACATAATGTAAGATATAGTCAATACATATTAGATACTCGAGATAGATTTTTTATTAGATGTTTGATTAATATAAAAGTTTTCTATGAGTCAATATTATCAAATTGATCTTATAGCAAATTCATTGATATCTTTTCTTTTTCTTAGTTTTTTCTAGATATATTTTCTTGTTAAATATCTGTCAATTATGACAGAAGATTTCGTTCCATCTGCATCTATTGATAGTCATTCAATGCCAATGGAAGTACAAATACCATTATTAGAATCATCTTCAAACATAAAAGGTTCTAGCCAACATAATGATCTTAAATCTCATGCAAATAATACTAACAAAACAGGTTTCTCATCCGGTGACGAAAAGATATCTGATCAACGTATGGCTCGGTCTTCAACTAATGGATCGAAGACATTAAAACTGTCTGATAAATTATTTGCTGTAGCTCAGTTACAAACATTAGGATTCTATCAAGCATTACTTAGTGAATTTATTGGAACAATGTTACTTGTAATAATAGGTTCATCTGTTGGTATACCAGTTGCATCTACTCCTCCTGTACCTGCTTTGCATGGTGCTCTTGCATCTGGTTTTATTGTTGCTACGATTATCGTTGGATTTGGTCATACGAGTGGAGCACATATTAATCCAGCTGTTACAGTATCATTTCTTGCTGTATGTGAAATTGATTTTCTACGAGCATTTTGTTATATTGGTATGCAACTTCTCGGTGCAAGTTGTGGTTCGATTTTAGTAAAATTACTTGTATCACCAGGTGTTCAAAGTAATTTAGGTATGACAACGATTACTACAGGTGTTTCAATTACACAAGCATGTGTAGTGGAATTCATTATTACTTTTATATTATGTTATACTGTACATGCTATTTGTGATAAACGACGTGATGATATTGGTGGTTCAAAAGCTTTAGCCGTTGGTTTAGCTGTAGTAGTAGGTTGCTTATTTGGTGGTCCTTATACAGGTGGTTCAATGAATCCAGCTCGATCATTTGGACCTGCTACAGTAATGAATACATGGGAAAATCATTGGGTTTATTGGTTCGGACCACTGACTGGTTCTATTGCATCAGCATTAGTTTATACGCACATCTTAAAACACCATCATCAATAATGCATATAATGAATCCTGTTCAAATTGAAATAGTGACAGAGTAAATTATAATTAAAGACAAAAACAATTTGACAATAGTCATGATCTATTTTACTTTTCTTTATATTTTTCATTCAAATTCACTGAGAAATAGTGATGTTTAGCTTTGGGGTTATTTGTTTTCGTGATTTTTAATTAAATATTTAATATCTGTAATTTTATGTTACCTCTTTTTTTGTATCTTTCAGCAATTTGTTCTCTTTCAGAAATCTCATATTCTAATGACTGTATGCATCTTTCAATAGAAATAACAGCAATATATGTTTTCTTTTAGAGATACTCCGATTATCAAGTAAAAATTTAAATCTTATTTCCTTTTTTTTCAGTTGATGATCTGGCTATAATAATAGCTTGCAAAATAGTTGTAAGCTATACTGAGCAGTGCTTAGATATTAATAAAAAACTCAATTAATTTTTCGAGAATCCGGAATATTACTCAATACTAAGCTTTCAGCCGATTAGTTGCAATGAGGCAATGTGGTTTTATAGAAAGGTTGATACAAAATAAAACAACGCAAAAGATTAGACTAATACTAAATATGATTGAGAAATTCCGATTAGATAGGCGTACTACGTACGATTAAGACATGCTCTGTTTTCTAGTTACGTTCATCCATTATTTACCTGACTCTTTTCTTCTAATCATATGAAATCAACAATCAGAACAATCTCCCGTCTACTGCACTTAACGAAAACGAATTTTCTTTCATCTAGAATGGGACGATTCTTTCTATATGTTTGCACTGAACGATATCTTTCTAGCAGATAGATGTGTTAGATATTTGGACAGGTATTTTAAGAGTCTATCGGAACTAACAAATGGAAGTTTATTAATGCAACAGACCATACTGAATTTTAAGGCACCCTCTACTTCTCAGAAATCAATATGAGACTAGCTACATTCAAATCTCATGATATTTTCAGAATATTGTTCGGATTATCGTGCAAAGACTTAAATAAAGTTTTCAGCTCTATTCCATGACGCTTGAGACAGATATTAAATAAACAACATTCAAGAATAGCTTACTGATCAACCGAAAATCTCTGCAGGTCTTCATTCTGTATACTGAAGCTTTTTTGTTTTAGCAAGAGCATGTTAGGCTATAGAGAATGACACAGCCCTTCTTTTTATTAATTCTTACTTCTTAAGCAGAGAAAAGTTCCATGCTTAAAAAACACTCTTAAACAAGGATGCTCTAATTATAATAGTAACAAAACTTAATTTTAAAAAAAACCACTCAACCATGCCTTTGATCTTAACATGCTCTATTATTCAAAAAGAGAAATTGACTACAATGAAGTTCCTTCTATAAATCTGGAATGCGCGATGAAAAAAAGCATAAAAATAGAAAAAAATCGACAAGATTTTCTGCTTTTTTTGAAAACAGCGTTTTTTTCAAATGGAAGATGCCAGAAATCATCAAAAACTTTTGGAAAAACGGGATATTTCATAAAAAGTCATGTTGTTTATGAAAGATCAGACCTCGGACTATCTTAACATGCAATTAACTTAGTTTCGATAATTTTCACGAAAATTGACTTTTTTGGGGGATAGCTTTAAATCGAATTAAAGCTACAATGGTCACAGTAGTCATTGGTGCTACCGTGCAACGTGCACTCCTAATAGTGCTGCATTGGTCTAGACATATCCATATAGAATAACAATGAAGTCAATGAGCACATGGTAAAACTACGGCGGTCTTAAATTCATTTCGACTATTTCGATCGGAGAGGTCTATCTTAAAAAAAATTGCTGAGTTTTATAAAACATGACTGAAACCTGAGAACGAACGAGGAAAACATCCAAACTGATCCCTGCAGTTTAATCTCATATTGTGTCTACTAGAACATTTGAGTGAGACTAGGATAAGTAAAAAAGGGTTCCTCACCATGAACCTTTGGAGACGAATTATAATCGATATACTGAATATTCGATACACGTTTACATACATACAGAAAAGTCAGAAAGGAGAACTATGATCTGAAATCTAGTTCATACATAGATCTAATCGTCTGTAAAATATTCTGAAAGTTTCAGTCGAAAAAAAATTTTCTTTGTCGAAATATGGAATTTTCAAGTAAACTCGATTTCTGCATCATACATATTGCAACCGAATATCTGTTAGAAATTTAAGATTTCAAAAAAAAATAAAATTCTTATCACTTAAAACTTGTAAGGTGTTCTATAAGTCATTTGACTTATATAGCAGCAAATTTTCACGTCGAAATGTTGCTTCTGATTTGTTGGTATATATTCAAAGATGGAACGAAAATTCACTACAATCATATTAATTCAATTTCAAAGGTCCATACAGATGAACTGTTTTAGACTTTTTCTAGTTTCACTGAAACCTCTCTTATATGCCCAATATGAGCTCAAACAGCGGGTGTTACTCAGAAAAACGTTTAGCAAATTTTTGTAAAATTCAACTACTTTTTTGAAATGATTTCCCCAATCGAAAAATCAGAATCAATCCAATACTACCATAGTTTTATCATGTGCTAACAGTCTTCAGCGTTATGCTATGTGTGCATGTCTATACCAGTGCAGCGTTCTATTGAAGACTGCTACACTGTCATCATTATATATCTACATTGAACAACATGATTAGAATAGAAGCATTCAATTATGTTTTCACAGATCTAAACGTTTCGTAGAAAACATCTCTGTTTTAGGAAAATGTAGCTTTGGAGTGCTGTCAATACGACAGTGAATTTTGTTCTCGTATTTAATAAAGAAGAAAATTTAAATATTTTCTGTTTTTCCTGAAGCCTTTTCCAATAATTTTATATTGTTGTATAAGATGCTCATTGTGATACTACTGTTCAGTATATACATAGAATGGTCTGTCATGGAACAAAAAGGTTAGTTGTGTGTTTACCCTCTATATAATCTGAATCTACATATTATCTTCTTCCAACTAAATCCGTTCAAAGTTTGTACTGATAAAAATCAATCGATTATCAGATTAATGCAGATAAAAAACAATTAGTTCACATCAATTTACAGTGTCTTGATTTTAATTAATTAATCATTAATTATTTTCTTTTATTCATCAATAATTTTTCTTCAAGTATTAAATCATCATAAATAAATATAATCTTCACTGTTTTTCATTATGTGATCGTAATTGAAAAAGAGAACGAACAAATCTTTTGTTTGTTTGTTTAGAAAGAAAAAAAAAATAAAATAAAATAAAAGAGGAAGAAATTCAAAAGAGAAAAAAAGGACACATACACTGACAAAAAACCGATATCACACATTTTCGTTTTTTTCTTTTTCTTTGTTTATATTATTCGAAAGCACAATTTGTATTTATATATATATATGCATGTTTGTGTATGTGAAATGATATTGGTTTTGCAAAAAAACGAAAAATAAAATAAAATATAATAAAAATTTTCTTTGCTATTTCGATACAAAACGGGACAAGAAAAAGAAAAAAAGACTGAATGTTTCTATGAAATTTAAAATAGACTTTATAGGAAGTGATCAAGAATGAAAAAAGAAAAATAAATTATGTATACTATAGATTCCATCAAAGAGATAAACAAAACAAGAATATTTTCCATTCTCATTCACAGATAAACTATTCACTAGTACCGAAAGAAATCTCTCACGCGGGACATTCGATAGAGTAACTAATATTTAGCAAAGAGAAACAAAGTTCTTTTTATGTGTTTTTTTCTTCTTTTGATATCTCAGCGGACGGATGGAGAAAAATGAAATCTGACAGTAATGGTGGGAAAGCAAAAAAAACAAAAATAACATGTTGAGTGTGCATTATAGAAAATGAAAAAAAAAGTTTGAAGAAAGATCAACAAGGAGAAAAGAAAAAAACACCACCACCACCTCCACCACACATCTCCCTATATGAAAGAAAAAAAAAACAATCGAAGATGAACAGTTATTGGTTGCTATTAGTCGATAATGGAATTAAGTTGAACACCACCAATATGTGGTAATTTCTGATGTCGATTGAACTCATTTGTTGAAGGATATGTTTTTGATGATATATTATTAACTGTATTATATAATTGTTGCTGATGATGATGATTTGTATAAATTCCATTCGCACCACCCATATCACTGTTTAGTTGACCACCCATTGTACTTCTATCTCCATTTGATGTTTGTTGTTGTGTTTGTTGAGCGGCAAGTAAATGATGATGACGAAGTACGGCTGAGGGACGATTTGGTGGAGGAGCTTCAGATGGAGGTTTAGGTAAGCGACGACGTAGCCAAGAATGTCTAAACAATGAGAATTTTCGATATTGGTTTTCGAATAGAAAAGAAAACTTTTAATGCTTCACTATATTCAAAATAAATATGAGCTTAAACTTTCGAGAAAAATTTCCTTAAATTAAACAGATGAACAATTTTCAATCATGATAGAATGAGGAGTCAATTATATTCATTTGATAAGTCGTATGATATTGAATACATGATTTACTGTTTGTTGATTATTTAGACGAAGAGAAATGAACAAGTGTGTAGTTATTGAGACAATCATAGTGTAGGTATGGATCTGATTGAAAAAAGAATTTACTTCTACATCCATATTCTTATACGCCCACTTCATTTTTGGAGAGTTAACATTCTCGAATGCAAACACATGTAAATTCTTCAAATCCAAACATTTACATTGAGGTTGATAAACTGCAAAACAAACGATTGTTAGCATCAACTGCAAAAATATGGAATAATATGGACTCTCCAACTCCAAAACATCGGAAAATAGAGTCATAGTAAATGAATATTGATGAAATTGTGGTAACGTTCTGATGAAAGTTATGTCGATATTAGAGGATTCCTGAAAACTGCTGGACTGAGCAGTATGAAGACATCTATTTTGTCAAAATATGCTCTTTTTATAGCAATGTGTTCGAACTTAGGGCATGTTTATTACTAAAATTTTGTGTATGCGTTACAGGCTTTGGTAGTAATAAAATAGACATTG